TATATATATATTCCACATTTGGCTTACTTGTTCATCCTTCTTCTGTTTTCGCAGCTGCAAGCCTTCCTCTTCCCTCCTCCTCCTCATCTCATCTGTGTTGAGAGACTTGTTCTTGTAGCTTTTGAGTCGTGCATTGTCCTTACCTTGACTCATGGTTTAGCCTGAGAACACACACCGGTCTGTTATTGACACATGATTTTGGAGCATTTATGATTTAACTTAACGGCTCTCAGTTATTACACATTTAGATCCTAGGTAAATACATGAACTCCAGTGTCAGTCGGTTGTGGCCGAAGAATCCCTGTGAAATCTAAGACTGCAACGTTGACAACTTCAACCGTACTTTACGGCTAATCAGTAGATCAACAAAACAAAACAAATATTACTTAACAAGTGAAAACCATGACACCTTGCTAGCAGTCAAGATTAGCTTCCACTGACTTCACTGCTTAGCTTTCAGGTAACTAATCACGTCACGTTTATTTTAGCGCGACAGAAAACTTGCCGTTATCGGTAAACACAACTGAGCAGCACGGGTCAAACTAAAAGCCATAGCGACTGTTAGCCTAGTGGCTAACTGGATGTTAGCTTAGCACGAGACACAGCTGTACGCAATCAAACAACCCGACGTTTTCCAAACGTTTCCGACTGAAATAATAAAAACATGTTGTCGTTGTTGACGCTAGGCGAAAAGAACTGACAAAAATGTGAACATTTGTAATTACCTGACCTATCAGTTTGGACTCGTAATCCCCTTATTCGTTAGGCCACTGTTCGTACAGCCGTCGCCGCCGGTATGCTAATGCGCATGCGTGGTATTTAACGTGACTCCCAGCGTAGCTGGAGACCAGACGTACGTAATTCCGCCGGTATGCTAATGCGCATGCGTGGCATTTGACGTGACTCCCAGCGTAGCTGGCGACCAGACGTACGTAATTGTGGCTCCGCCTACAACTTCGGTCATTGTAAAAAACAACAACAACAACATCAAAAACAGACAGACATAAAAGTGTCTGCTTTTTTAAAGTTTAACACTTTTATGCGCCGTTACCAAAAACTCCATCTCATAAATCTAATGAGTCCCCCATAGGATAAAAGAGAGAGCTGGTGCAATTTCAAAGAGACGCACAGCTGCCTCGCCGCCTTTCAGGCTTTTATGAAATTGATGTTAAACGGTGCAGGTGGCAGTTTAAACGGGGCAAGTAGACAGTCCGGCGTCAATGACCGTCAAATGACCTGAGGTTGACCACAGGTCGTCTGGTGCAGACACACACACACACACACACACACACACACACAC